TATATATATATATATATATATATATATATAATTTAAATTTTCACTAACATGCATATTTAGAATTGTGTCTACGTGAAATTTTATAAGTATTACTTGATTATTAAAAGGAACAAACTAAATCGTAACTAATTGTAGAAAAAATCGTCTTTTTCTTCATAAAACATTTTAGGTATATCAATATTATTTTAGATAATATATAGCTCAAAAAGTGGTCGGGAGTGTGAGTGATACTCATATCGAGAAATATAGAAGATTAACAATATATTTGAAATGTGAAAATGTATTCTGATATCGTTAAAAAATCAAATGAGAAAGTGTCTCTAATATTGTTTCAAAAGAATTTAAGCTCAGCCACGTGAGTTCGTATAGAGGCCCTATGCAATACAAATTATAGTCCACGGGCTAGGTCACGTGGGTGCTTAATCAATTCTCTATAATCCAGTAGATTATAATTATATTGATGACGATGAAACTAAGCTCCTATTTGGATTCCATTTTCTAAAATTTATTTTTTCTAAAACTCATTTTCAATCGTAAATTCTCTCATAAAATAATGTTACACGTAAATTAAAAAAATTTCCTTATTTTTTAACCTCACGTTCTCTAAAAATCAAATCTCATTTTAATGAAACCCAAAAAGGGCTAAGTAATTTATATTTTCCTTCAGGGAAAAAAGAATTCTTTTAGTATTTACTTTGAAAGATGATGTCCAAAAAGTACAAGTACACGAGCGCATGACACCGCGATACATCGTGTACACACTAAAACATGATTTTATTTTTTATTTTATCAAAAAAATAAGATATTCGGGGTACATTGATTTAAATTATTTTAAGATTTTAGATGCATATTTCTTGTTACGCTCTGATTTTACACGCCTCGGATACCGAAGTGTCATCTTGTTGACCTCGCGCAGCACCACATATTCCGACCTGGAAACGATCCTTCCGAAGTGTCTCCGAAGTGATATAGCGATTCCTACTACTAATCTGCTGAAGCATCTCACCTCCGAGGTCGAGATCAAATGGACCCCGGTTAGAAGATCCGTCGTCAATTTGAGATTTGTCCTGCACCTAAACCTTAAATTGATTTGACGTCTCCATGAGGCAAGTTGATGTGACTTATCAACTTTATGTCAATTCAACTCAGAAGAAACAAACTGTCCGCCCACTCTACGAACGCGGCTAATTAACGCCTATGAGCAGACACTTCATACCGTCAGATGTATATACACGTTCCACATCCAACGATTCATACCACCTATAAATACCCAAGGTTTGGCAAGAGGCAAATGTAATGAAACTCTTAATACATAGCACTCCATAGCAAGTTTATATATTTTCTCCTCCCCCTTTTATTGTTGATTTGCATAGCCGCCTGGGTACTGTTCCGATCACCTAAACCTGACTTGACTGTCGGAGTGTATACGGCCACCACCACCCCAGCTGGTTCCGGCCGTGTGCGCCTGATTATTCGCTGATTGTGTGCAGAGAGGAATACGTGGAGTAGCTTCCAATTCGCCACGTGAAAGGACCAATTTCCGGGGTCAACATTTCTTATATTTATTTTTATACTTTTCTCGAGAAGTATTTGTAAAGTATTCATCGATTGTCACAAAGTTACATAAAACTTAAAACACGATTAACAAATCCACATCATAAAGTATTAATGTCGGTATCTAACACGATACACGAAGATGCCGCTCTAATAAGAGGCTCCATACTTCGTAGCTGTATAAATGGTCCTGTCCCTTTTCATTATGATTTCTCATGTTGGTACGACATCATTTATTGCAATATATTGTCATAGCATTCCTGTGTAATATTCCCCTATTCCCTTTCTGTAAAACTGAGATTAAAGGAATTAGCATATATTCTCTCCATTCTGAATTTGCCTTCATTTTGGAAGAATACGTTTTTTGAACGGCCTTTCCATTTTCAGTAAAAGATATGGCTACAAGTAAGCACTCTACTATTTGAAATGGAATAAACCACTCAAACAAGGTTTATTGACAGGGAATTGAACAGGGCGTCTCCTATTGGAGGGGACGCCTGCGGCCGCCTAACATCTCTTATTTGAAATAGCATTATTTCAAGCAATATGTTTCGTTTGCCGGATTGGATTGAATGGAACCAAGCAAGGCAGTAAATAAATATATTAGATATTTTTTTTTTTTTTTTTTTTTTGAATTTTGAATTTTGAACAGTCTTGACTGATTTAATATCTGAAATTGGTATCATATTATATTAACTATTCCCGGTTGAAATTTCCATTATATTTTTCACCAAACTTATTCAAAAACCTTAATGCACAAATAATTGCTCAGAAATCATTGTTTCCCAAAGGAGTTGTACTATCAACTTGTCAAACGGACCACTTAGTTATCCTTTTCAAGTATTGGGTCAAGTATTATTATACCATGTGCCCCAGTTGAAATTTTGCATGTGTATTTTCTTCTGAATGCTGTGCAATTCTCCTATGTAAATTATCGTGCTTAATGTTGTTTAATTATTATCATTGAGTTTGAAATCCTAAACAACTTGTCCATTCGTCGAAGAAAAGTGACTATCAACAGCACATGTGCTGCAATGACCGAGACAAAGAATTGCAATCCCATAAGCTAACCCCAAAAAATTATCTTCAATTCAATTTATAGGTTACAACTTGCATAATGTTTAGTTTCCCACTTACAAAATTACAACTGGAAAAATATATAAAAGATCATTGGACCATGCAGGCTCTCCGTAATAATTATGACCCATAACTTTGGAGTAATATATAAGTTTCATGATACAAGTGAAGATGCATTTTCCATTTTTTCTCAATGTAAAAAAAATATATATATTTTTAAACACGGTCAAACATTCTGACGTTAAAGGAGTACATAAGCTTCACATGAGCAATAACAATTCACAAATCAAATTGACTACTAAGCACAATATCCTTCACGTATAGCTAGTATACTTCAGTAACTATTGTGCATATTTGATAGCATAAATGGCTAGCTAATACAAATGAGAACTCTTCGTACTAGAAAATAGAAAAGAAAAATGATGAAGATCGAGTTAGCATAAAACTACTAAAAGTGACTTTCTTGAAAATGGAAATTCATAAATATAGCATATATAGACAGTGTAACACTAGACGATGTTAAAATATAAAGAATAATTTAAAATTTTGAGCACTATATTGTTCAGTCTTAATTGATATATCAAACTCGTAATAGTATGCAGATTTTATGTATTCAGGTCAGTACAGTTTGCAAAATTCAGTGTCTTGTCTGGTTAGGACTGAAACTGTTTAACAACCCTCAAAGGTCATGGCATTACTGGTACTCGAGATAATAATACTTAGACCCCATTAACCTTATCTTCTTCTTGGCCCAGAGAACCCCACGCCCACCACCACTCTACCCTACCCCCTCTGAAAATCTTGATATTTTTATTCAGAATTATTCTTAATTCTGGTTATTCTTCCCCTCTGACTGACACCTTACTATGCGGGAGCCTTGTATATATAATAGTGTCTTGCGTGTCTTATTCCTGTTTCAAATTCACTATCTTTCCCTCTTTTCTGAATTTGCATGCAAATTCAAATAAAATGTTTCAAGTTCTCTCACGACTTTGCGAATGTAATAATGAACCATATTCAATGTTTTCAATGGGGGTTTTGATGCAACCCATAAAGAGTGGGATTTGTGCTTTTGAGAAACCATTCTAAATTGAATGAGATTACATGGTTTTGTGCAAATTCCACCGTTTAAGGAATTGTTAATTACTAAAGAGTTAGGATTATATATTTTTTTATTTTTTCGAAATAGTAAAAACTATATTCTTGTTTATTTTCTCATAACAGAATTTTTCTTTCAAGAATTAGCTGATTAGTGTTGCACTATTCCATTTTGATCCCTTTAAATAAGGTCAATCATACAAATAATATTTAAAAGATCCTTCTCTCAAGTAGTGGAGATGCTCTAAGCATAAAGCATTCTATTAGTTATTTATTAACTCACTAAGGTTGGCCAAAATAACAGAGTATTGAATAAAATTTTGGGGTTAAAATTGTCGCTAACTTTCATAACGTGTCGCTCTAGTCTCCAAACATTTTTCACATCGATTGTCACTAAGCTTACAAAATTGTTTCAGTTAAGTTATATTTACCTATATGGTAATAAATTTAACAATTTTGTTGACGTGTTTAATGATGTTCATTGTTGCTTATGTGGATGAGAACCTTGTCATGAATAAATTAAATAAGACACTTTGAAAAGCGATTTTGGTTCTCTAGTATTCATTTGAATGCTATGAAAATTTTTATCCCTTCCATTTATTCATTGAACACAGATTGAATTGATTTATGATATAGTTTCCTTGATTTGGATCCTATTGTCATTTCTTTTACCACATTAACATCATTATATAATATCACTATTTTCTTATCACACTTGCACATTATATAATTTTGCCTTTCATTCAAGTTAAGAAAAATTCTTTATTCAAATAAATGTCCTTTGCAGTCCTTAATCTGGAAAGAGAAAAGCGAAGGAAAAACATAAAGATGTAAGAGCCGTGATTCACGTACAGGCAGAGGCTTGTGAGCTTTTGCCAGAACACACACAAGGGGGCGGGGCCTGCAATTTTATTTTTTATTTTTTTATGCAGGTCGGTAGGACCAACCTAACTACCATCTACAGTGAAGGGGTCTTACAGACCCCTGTATGATAATTGCCTTATACTCAAGGCATTGCTCAAGATGCAAAGTGGTCCAGAGCTTCTATCTTTTCCAGGCTCACATTTTCATAAATTAGTAATCAAATCCTTATATATAGAAAGAGATGTACTTTAATTATTTTTATAAGTTCGTATTTGGCAAAGCTTTTTTAAAAGCTAATAATATATTTTATAAGATCTACAATTTATAGAGCATGCTTGGGAGTAGCTTATGGAAGTTCTTGTAAGTCCACAAAGTGTGAAATCCACAATTTATAAGCAATTAAAAAAATTAAGCTTTCCCAATCATGCACATGTTGCTTTTAGAGGTCTCAATTGAAAGATCAAATGAGCCATTGTTAATTATAACAATTAGAACTAAAGTTATGGGCTTGTTTGGCATGGCTTTTAAAAAGGTAAAAGAAGCTTTTGAGATCAAAAGCTTTTTTGGACCTATTTGACTAATTTTGTGAAAATACTTCTTCTAATTAAAAGAACTTTTAGAAAAACTGTCCAATGTAATTTCCTTTAAAAATGTTTCTGGAATAGAAAACTCTTTTAAAAATTAATTTTCAAACAAATATTAAGGTAGCTTCGTCTTTTCAAAATCCATCGGGCCCTACATTTTGAATTCACAAGTTAGAAGAGGAGCTCATAAATCTTGTCATGAAATTTTCAATGTTTCAAAAATCATTTTGAGAGTTAATTCCAAAAATAGTAAGTATTCAAAAGTTAAAGGTTCAAAACGACTTAACTTTCAAATAAATCGAATGGTTTTATTAACCCATCAATTTTCCAATTATTTTGATGACATTTAAAATTTCAATCTGTTTGCATATAATCAATTAATCATATGAGATTTTGGACTGATTCTCAAAGTTTTCAATCAATCCTATCCAATTCTTTTAACATAAGATGTTTTTGATTTAATACAGTAATATGATAGAGACGCGAGTTTAATTTTCAATATTATTCATTCTGGTAGGGGAAGGATCTACTTCTACTCCATCATGATGCTTTTCGTGGCTCGATCAATAAAAAGATGAAGTCAATGTGAAGTTTGGTCCCATTCTTAATAAGTTAATAATGTAAACATTTAAATGAAATAGTTGAATATATTTTCCCACATCAATCATCATCATCATCACACGAAATAGCATATAAATTTGGAAAAATGAAAAGATTGCTCATTTTGTTGAGTCGAAAATGTAATAACAAAAAGTTTGATTTCTCTTATTGCCCACGTGTACGCCTCTAATCCCACTCTCTTTTGACTTTATTCAAATCTGAGCTCTACAACGTGGGTCCCAAATCCAACAAATAGCATCTCATCACGTGATAGACCATGTGACATCTATCAGAACATGTTCTTACACTGTGCGGACCGCATCGTATCGAACAGCACCGTTACAGTTTCACGCACTATGGAATCCAGAATCCTACGCTCAATCTCTGATACTACAGTGTCACCTTCTTCTTCTTCATAGAATCCATTTGATGATGACGACTTGAACAAATCTATATCTATCAATGCATCAATGTCTTCAAGAACTTGGCAATTTGCTGAGGGAAAACTCTGTAGTTTCTTGTCTAATTTGTCAATCAAATCCGATCCAGAAGGTCTGCAATTCCGGGTAGTACGAGGTTTAAGTATTTCCACCAATAGTTCATTTACTAGCTGGAAAATGAGCTTTCTGTTGCATCTTTGGTTTAAGAATTTGGACTGTTTAGTAGTGAAAATTACTGTGTCGGCGGTGGTGGCGGGGTGGAGAAGCTCGAGGTGGTGGAAAATTGATGGATCAAGAGGGTGTGAAGGGGAGTACCATTTAGCCAACGACACTGGGGTACCATTGTCTATAATCCCAGTACGTTTAAGGATTTTTTGAATGTACTGATTGGAATCTCGATTACCGGAGGTAGGAGCACCGTTACGTTTGTCTGGTTTGATGTTTTCTTGGTTGAATGTTTCTTGATTGTACGATGGGCTCGAACAACTAGATAACTGTGTTCTCTTTTTCGATGAAAGAGCATCTGATACCTGCGACTGGATTTTCATTAAAAAATTATAAGATAAACAATTACAAGTTGTAGGACCCAAAAATAGAACTAAATTATATCAGTACCGTAAAATTGCAGCTTCCGTCATCAAACTTTTTCAGTTTTACATTTGGGAGGCTTGGAGTTGGACGTGAAGGGTCTGTCTTGCTATTGGAAAATTCATTTGACAAAGGAGTATTTTTCTTGTTCTTCTTGTCTGAAAGATTTGGTTTTGCTGAACGAATGAATGGTTCCTCTTTCTTGTTCCTGATAGCATCAGATGCTTGTGGAGGTTTCTTGGTAGATGAATAGTATTTGTCACTTGCAACTTTCCTGCATTTTTGGACTGAGTTTTCGACGGGTTTGTTCTTAGACTCCAAGAACCGGAGCCCTGGTGAAAAAGATGGCTTTGGTTGTTTTCCGGGCCTGGATTCATTGTCGAATCCTGTTAAAATCTTCAATGGATTTGGTTGTTTTACAGGAGTGGATTCACCTGTTGAAATCCTGGATGGATTTGAACCTTTCCAAGGCCTGGATTCGTCGTCAAGTCCTGTTAAAATCCTGGATGAATTTCTGGGCTTCAGTAGAACAAGATGTTCATCGCGTCTTATCTCACTGTTTCTGATTGTGTTAGTAATATCAATACCAACTTTTCTGCTGATATTTTCTTTAATTTGCTTCACCATCTGCTTCGCATATTGGCCTTGATTTGTATTTTCATCCGCTTTCTTGAATTCTCTCCTTGTACCCATTTTCTTGAATTCAATTTTTTCACAGAAATTCTCTTTGTCAATTTGAAGGGACAACCTGTGCTCAACATCTGACCTTCTGGCTGATGAAATTCTTGGTGTCTCCGGTAAGGAACGAACACCGGAATTTAAATGTTCTCGAGGATGAAACTGGGATTTTTTTACGGTTCTGGAATTTGATGATAATGAAGGAGAGGTGGATTCAGGAAGGAGATCAAGACCCATAAGTCTTGCTACTAAATTTGGAGTTTTTGTCCCTGGAGAATCACTGCATTCTGAAGCAATATAATCTGAAGTAGACACTCTAGGTGATTTATTTTCACGACCTGTTTTGATTCGAATTCCCATCTGGAATATTATCGAAATCCCAAATCAAAATTAATAAATTATTATCATTATTACTCACTTTTCAAACATACATTGGAAAAAGAAAACTATAGTACTAACAGGGATTTCATCTTCTTTCATGGCCAATGAGATTGAAGCTGCAACATCCCTGGGACGGTCCTCTAACTCCAAGCTGTTCCTTGGCGCTTCCACTCCTGCATTAAACCAAAATTTGAACCCAAAATCTACAAAAATACAGACAGAAAATTAAACATATCTTGTGTGAAAAATGAGACCCTTGAGTACAGTAGTGTCTTCTTCTTGAAGTAAAGAATGGTTGTGGAAATGAGAGGAATGGTGGTGGTGCAAAGGAAACTGAAAGTGATGTAAATCAAAGATTTGAAAAACAGCACACATGCAACCAGATGGTGATGCTTCTTTTACATCTGATATTCTTCCTCTCTTGGTAGATCCACCCCCACCCCCCCAATGCAGCCACTCTTTGCCCATAATTTGCTACCCAGAAGTAGCTCTCTTCTTATACACTTCCTCACTGTGAAGCCAAGAAAAGAGAGTTAAAAATGCTTCCTCCAAGAAAATATATATGGATGAAAATTACACTACTTATTGGTTCTTTACAAACTGAAACCTAATACCATGGCTCCCATTTAGACTTGTGGAGAAGAGATTTCAAGGGTATATGAGTATTTTGTGTTTGTGTGTACTCTCTCTCTTTCTTCACTCACTCCCAAGCATTATCAGACCATGACCAGAGAACCAACTCTCTCTCTCTCTCTCTCTCTCTGTGTATATATATATACACACATATACAACTCTCAACCATAACAGTCCGTCTCCTCCCTGGCTTTCAAATATGATAATTATATATATATATATATATTTGGGATCTGCTATTGTAAATTTGTAATACAACCTACTTTGCTGTTTTGAATTCATGGTCAACAAATCCACCAAAAGCCAGTTCTAGGTTGTTTACCGAAATTGTGCGTGACAGTTTTCGAGTTAACTTTGAACATCAATCAATCAAAAACTTGTAAAATAGTGAGATCGATCAACCTAGTTGAAATGAAGTAGGACACGAGTCTCAACATACTCAAGAAATTCAGGTGCTTTAAGAGTATTATTATTTTAAATTATGAACAGATTTCTCGACTACCTTTATATTTATAGAAAACGATTAAATGACTCGACATCTTAGCTTGACATAGGTTCATTGTTAGAGATTTTAAAAGATATTTGTGCATTCGAAAATCGAAACTGTTAATTAATAGTGTAATTTATTATTATTATTATTATCATCATCATCATCATCATCATAAAACGAAAATGACATAAATGCCCTTAATCATTATCTTTGAAAAATGAAAAATAAGGGCAAAACGGACATTGAACCATTTGGTGCAAAAAATGGTGTAATAACACTATTCACTTTTCATCATTTTGCACCAAAATGGTGCAAAATTTGGTGTTCCATTGGAGCAACTTTGCACCAAAAAATGGTGCAAGGGTGTTAGCATTGCAGTTGCCCTAGCCTAAGATTAGGTGCTTGGAGATACAGTTGTGCTGCGTGTACAGCACTTATACCCATACACCCTCTCACAATGTGAGGGGCCCATATGAGTGAGAGGGCCATACATCATGGAAAAAAAAAAAAAAAAAAAAAAAAAAGAATCATACTTGTTGTACAATGATTTTTACAACAAGTTTGACAACATTTTACGTGGCAGGTTATCATTGGACAGTTTGAAAAATACTTTATCTTTTCCATCAACTTTTTTTAACACCTACATCATTGTCAAGCATGTTGTACAAATGACTTATTCCATATTACAGTCTAATTAAATTAAACACTGTCTTTTACATTATTATTATTATTATTTTTAAAATTCACTATCTTTTACTAAAAATTCCATGAAAAATGGAATTGGAATTCCATATTCCGATTTTACCTTGTTTAATAGCATTTTTTTCCCCTCAAATTGGTTTTCCAACTATCTTGCCACATAAGCCAATTTCCACCTTTTCCTTGAATTGAAATATGGTGAGAATTCCAATTGTCGGTTATTGTAGCGACATTTTTTCTTTCAATTTTTTTTTTTTTTTTTGGTGGCAATAAAAACAAATTTTAAGAGTTACTGTAAAAAAATATTTCCCTTTAATTGACAGTTTTCAAATAAAATAAAGCCAAACGAATATCAAAAGATAGATGATTTTCTTAATTTTTTTATTTATTATTATTATTTTATTTTATTTTTTGCAATGAAAACAAATTTCATCATCAATACCAGTAAATTTTATCACTTTAATTGAAAAAAAGTCAAATGAACACCAAAAAATATTTTTATTTCAACATTTTCTACGTGAAAAATTAATCAAATACAATAATTTACAATTCTCAGGAAAACAATTTCTAGGCAATTCAATTTCCTGAAATTCCTTTTCTAAGCAATTCAATTCTATCTTTACGACCCTAACATTTGACTTAATATTTCTTCATCCAAACGTATACCTTAAAATAAAGCATTTGCTCCCCTTAAAATAAATTAATGATAGGCTAAACTTAAAGAACCTACTTAAAAGTAAATTTACAACAAATAGAAAAAGTGATTTACTTTTTGAGCATGCATATATTGGTCAGAGTTGATTAATTACTTATTTTAATGTTATATTAAAGAAAAACTTATATTCATAAGCAGCCAAATGTATTAAATGTAAAAGACAAAACTATAAAAAAGTATGTGTTTATAAGAACATTCAAATATAGCGAGTTCAAGTCTCGTCTCTATTTCTATGTGTCTCATGCTCAAGTCTCGTCTCTATACCTTCACAATAATAGTGTTTGTATCTGTGAGAGTACTAATAAAGATAATAAATTAGAGGCGGATGCAACCAAAGACATGCACCTAATGCATCGAAATCTCAGTTGAACGCTCTCTCTGGTCCTTTTCTGCGGGGTATGGGGGGCGTTTGTCCAAATGCATCTTAGCTACAATTCCAAAGGGACCACATCAACATTTTGAAATTCTATACTAATTATCCTTTTTATAATTTTTATATTTTGAATACTTATACATACACACACATACATTTATGATTGCAATGTGCTCCTCGGCAGGTGGCCTATGATTTTTATCTTTTTATTTTTCACATGTTCTTTGATTTGGAGATTATATAAAGACGTATAACATGAAAGAATATAAAGAAAGAAATTAATTTCCTTTCCAAAATAAAAGAGAAACTTCATGCTGTCCATTAGAATGATTGCACACACATACATAATTTATGCTCAAGAAAAAAAATTTGAGTTCAAATTTGCTATCTCGAAGTTATTGTCCTCTTAACTTTATTTATTATACATTTTTGACACATTAACATTTTAGTAAATGAAACGATGTCAAATGTAATGTGTTGATGTGTTAAAAAAATATTTTTACATTTTCCCAGTACGATAAGAAAACGTGATAGATCGAAGTGTCAAACTTGTATTGGGAAACAACAAATTAGGAACAATACATATCAACTCTTTGATTCTTTATGACATGGTAGGCAAATAACTTGAATTCATGTGTTATCCTCTTCAATTTATGGAAATTTGAAGTACTCCAACAAACTATTTATATTTAAAACTTAATTTTATTACTCCCACAAAATATTTATTATTTTCCTCAATTTTTTATTTTAACTAACTTTTCTCTAAATTATTTCATTATTTTCTTACATTGAAAATTGAAATACTTTGAATGCATTTTTCGATCTTTAAATTAAAACGCTAATTTAACAGTCTCTTAGAGATGTTCTTACAACTTCTTTTTGTTGTGATACTAGGTTGAAGAACCTTATATAATCATTTAAACGTTGTGTGACGAAAAAATATTATTTTTTTTGTATTTGACTTTCAACAAAATTTCCACCTGCCAATCAAGTAATATTTATAATCCTCGTAGCCATGTCGAATGCAAGGATTTTTATTGTTTCAAGGTCTATTTTAAATAGTAAAAGATATATTATACAAAAATAGAGTGGACCAAGGTCTTCTTTGGCCTATAAATATGATATGATGACCACCCGGAATTATATCAAGAAGGTATTTTTTACAAATCAGAAGGTCCAAATTTCACGGAGCTCTATGCTAGTCCTATTTCAATAGAGTAGGGTGCATATAATTACCGTGAGACCCGGACATTTCATCAAATTGGATGATTTTTTCAATTTTCTTATCATAACTATTTTTCGTCTTTGTTGGGGGCTAGGGGTGTGGTAGGGTTCGTGCGGGTCTTGCATGGCAAAAGAAAAGAAAAGAAAAATGTTAGATTCCCTCCAATCTATTTATGTTTGAAAAATGATGGTCAATTTGAATTTTGAAGTAATTTGCCAATATTGGGCATGTTTGGGCCCGATTTTTTCACCCAAAAAATTGATTTTTTGACCGTTATTTCACTATTTCAACCGTCATATTTAAATTTTTCTCTTACAGGTGGATCCCACTTTTCTTCTAACGGTCAAAAAATCAATTCTCAAAATCACTTCCAAACAGACTCATTATAAATTTGTTTTTATACGGATCATTCAATTTCAATTTGTCACAAATTAATTACACAAATATTTTAATTTTTTAAATCTGACTATTGTATATCTTATAATTACGAAAGCCAACAAAATTACGTTGACAAAGGTTCGAACTTCATCAGTCCTGGCAATGATTATAGATAAGATGGCCCATTAGAGCAAACTAAAGTTTGAAGACTAAAAATTAAAACATATTAAAGTTGCGTGACTAAAATGAATCAAATACGTATATTTAATGACCTCCAATGAAATCCCTCACCAGAATATTATGTTTCTTTCAGTTTTACTTGTGGGTAAAAATACCCATAAAAGGTCGTAAATCAAAAACGAAGCATCGCCCTTCTATAACAAAAGTTGATGTACAGCGAAATATATGCATTGGCGAGAGCTGAAATTGAATTTAAACATCCCCCAAGGCCCAAAAAAAAAATTTTTGTTAAGGAATTTTTCATTTTTTTCCCTGTAAAAACAGTTTTTTTATGTGTAAATTTTTATTTTTATTTATTTTTATTATTTTTTTTGTATTAGCCCGGTTTGAATTTTTCTAGCCCGATCTTAAATCCAACCCTAGATCCGTCCCTGCTTAAAAATAAGAGTGGGTAAATCAAGATGGAAATTCAGAGATTTCACTCTATAATGTGAGAAAAGATCATTTACTGATTTAGTGCAATATTACTTAATGTCCTCGAGAGCATCCAATGCCGGCAGTATTCGATTCCGGAAAGATAAACAGGAAGAAACTGGGTAGGAAATAGACACGACCAGAAACAAGTTTAGTCCAAAACTCAAAATAACACTTTTTTTTTTTTTTTTGACAATAATGTATAAGTTGTGAGGATATAATCCAAATAAAAAGTAAAATCTAGGTGGAGGATCAATAATGGTAGAATAGAAGTGAATCTCTAGTGCCAGAATGTTACCACAGGCAAGGAGAGTATGAAATTGTCACTCTCAACATCTACCATCCACATCAAAGCCAGCCCCCGTCCAACCTGGTGGTGCTGAACCTCTACCTTCGGGTACTGCTCCTATTCCCCTTCCTCTCCCAGGGTTCATAGTTTTCTTTTTCCCTCTTCCGTCACCATCAAGAGAACGCTGTTGGCTCTGGCCATTTGTTTGGGGAACATTCCCTCGAGTGGAAGTATTTATAGCCAGTCCAGTTGCTGGCTCTGATGTACATAATGTGGAAGTATCCTGAGTTATACTATGCTGTGCCGGACCCCTTGGATTCCCATCCTAAACATGAGATTCAAGCCAGAGTCTGAGAATTCCTCAGGGGACATAATGTTCGTGAAAGAGTTATCTACTTTACTTTCTAAATACTTGCTTCTCTGTAAATGGAGTTATTTTAGCTACAAAAAATGACATCAATGCTTAAACAGCTACGTACAACAAAAACTTGTAAAATGAAATGCTCAGTGGTGCTGAGGTGCAATTGTACACTACTGCTTCAAGATAATTGCTATAGTGCATAAAACATTACAACGCGAAATGGAGGTGAGGCACACCTTAATTAGATTACGAGAGTTGGAGAAAAAATTAAATCTCTATGTGTAATTTCAATACGTCCTGGTGCAAATTTTTCTCTTTGAAATAATAAACTATTGTCTTGTTCTTCATTTGTCATCACAAGAACAATATGATAAGAATTGCCCTCACCATAACGGAGAAATGAGAGATGTGAACTACTAAATGCCAAGGCAACTCTAAAAAACTTGCTGGAATAAGAAGGTATTGAATAAATTACTTCAGCAAACTTAAATCCATGAAAACTTCAATAACTCGAAATTTGAGAGGTTGAATTTAGATGAGTTTTCCCCTACAGTTCAGAGTTTTTATTCTCCTGTCTCAGACACTGCACACATATTATCTCCTTCCTACAGAAAAGTGGGACAGTAGATATAGAATCTTCTCGACTACATTGAATTCTGGAGCTGAGTCATTACAGGAATCCATTATGGGAAACAAAGGCTCAAGAAATTGACTGATCAACACATATAATCACGTATGCAAATCATATGGTTATGGAAGGACAAGTGGGTATACAGCAGTTCCTCAAAAGTTAATTTGAAAAAGATGAATAACGAGATTAATGCAATACACTATAATTCCCATACAACAGAAATGATTGGTTTTCTCCCCATTGGTACATTTTAGATCAAACCTTACACTACATATCTTATGAAGATTTGGAATGACTTCCGAGCATACACTTCATCACTTCTTTCTTTTCTTTTTTTCCTACCCCCCATGGATTACCATGTCAACATCAAAGAATTTAAATTCTTGTTCAAATATCATCCTGAAGTACACCGGTCAGTTGAAGTGGAGGGAGCCTATGTTTTAGTGAGTGTATCATACTTGAGACAAGTAATCATGTTCGTGTCTGCGCCTGATCACATACTAGGTTTTAAATTTCAGAGAATGCATTCAATCTAAAAGACTTTATGCGTGTGTGTTTGTGTGTAATTTCATAAAAGTAAGGCTTGGGAATGTAAGCTTATAAGGAAAGTTTCCCTATACTTTCATCACTTACCGTGCACCACAGGAAAAATAGTCCAAAGAAAAAACTTGTTTAATATGCATACATTTTGTTTTGTATTTCCCCAAAAGGTCGGCAATGTATAGAAACAGCGAGTGACTGTTAGGATCTATCTTATTAGCATTTTTTTTTCCTCATAAACATCCAAATTGCTGAGATATAAGCCCATGAAGCTTAAACTGAAAATTGAAAATACACTTAAAATATTTATGGAAATCCCATAACGGGTCTCCTAGATGAAGATATAAGGGGAATTAAATCTTACAGAGGGTACATGGGTGGATGATCTGCTCGGGTTTAAAGCTTCCAGACGCCTTTTCAATTCTTCCAGTCTAGCATACTGTGCGTTGCTACTTTCCTGAACCTATAGGGAGAATTACCTTGAGTAAATATAAGATAAACTGAACAATATGAAGACTCAGTCAAACGAGATATCAACCAGATTATTCAAGTCTTCACAAAGCTTCTGTTTAATTGCTTCTTCATCCTTTACAGCTTTCGTTGCTGCTTCCCAGGCCTAGTAACCAGCACAATATTCATCGGAAACAAATCAAATACAATAAATGATAGTACAGGAGATTAAGAAACCAAGGAAACTAGGAACATGTCCCGTAAAGAAGGAAAGGAGATAAAGTGGTCATTAAGGAGATAAACTAAACAATTTCTTTCATATAAATGCAAAACCTTTTTATGTGAGTAACATAATGACAAATTATTATAACTTTGACATTCATGTCACAATAAAAAATGATATACCATTAGTTAACAAAGATGTACATGGTAAAAACGCAAACTAAGAACCTCCAAAATATTCATATAAGATAATCTAATGAACTCATTACAGATTTATTTTGCTTAAGTGAGAGTGAGAAATGTGACACTGATCTGATATGCATTGAACTTTTTCTATTGATTATTCATAAAGAAGTGAACGCCTCTCAGCTCCAATTTTCAAATTCAATTAAGTTAAAATTATTTAGACTAACCTGAATACACTTTAAATTATAAAGAACTGACTAGTCATTTTGTATGCGGCAAGTGACGAGCTAACACCTATAATGAACACAATAAAACAGTTTCTTGGTGTGTCAGGTAAAGCAATATACCTTAAACATTCCAATATCTTATTCTGAGCTTTTCATTTATCCTTGTATTTTCCTAAAAATGTACATAAAACAGAATAAACAAGGATATCCTTGAAATAGCATGGTTTTATACTCTGTATAATTTATGCACTATACTTGTGTGGGTGGATCCCACCCTTCCAACAACCCAAGTCCAGTTCTTCTATATTTTCACTAACGACAATATAACATTTTATTCATTCATGGATGTACCTTGAATTAGCAATAAGTTGATTTCTGAAATGAAAAAGGGTAGCATCCCTAAGTACTGTATATATATGACAACGATACAAGATATGCTATTTATCAAAAAAGACTGACCTGTCGTGCTTGTTCCTCATTCAGTTTGGCAGCCCGAATTCTCTCAGTTGACAATTCTATTTTCTTTCGCATGTGTTCAAGAGCTGATATTGAACACAAGCAGCAATGATCTCTCAGTTGAACTCAACAAAGATGAATATTGTTAGAGGAAGTAGGAATACCGAAGCACATACCAGCTTTCTTTGGTCCAGCAGTAAGCTTCATCTCCATTGTAAGACTTCCCAATTCTCGCTCAACATCACGAATCTTGGAATAATTTTCTTCAATATATCTAAGCAGGTGTACCAGAGATTTTATGAATATCATCAAACTAGAAAAACTAACATCTAAAGATAAGTAATAACAATTTCTAAATATCCAACAATTATATAGCAAATATTCTTATGCAGTTGACACTATAAACGGAATGTGCAATTTAGGGGAGCTATTCAAATACTGGCAGTTCGAGAATGTTATCCAACTGCGTCTTATGCCTCAAAGTATGAGGATTGGGGGAATTCAGACAATACAATGGTACAGAATGGAGCTGGAGAAGGAAAATCCAACGCCATATCTCGTAATGGAAACAGAAGTGAAGGTTTCCACTTTCCGTGAGGGTTACATGGGATGACGGGACCCGAAAAATTGACTTTCTTCATCTAAAAACTGCTAATAATATTAGGATGTTTCGTGCATCAGACTTGTACAGATTACAGATTAGATTTTAAACTGAATTGTATAACTGGAAATCATTATCTTGTATCTTCCAAGTATGAGTTTTTCCCTTTTCTTATTCAATAAATTACTATTTTAATAAAAGAGTTAGAACCTCCACAAATGAAATGAATACAGTCTAGCAGCACATCAACTAGCATGTGGATTCATGATTGAATCTATTTCTTGCAACCTTGTTTTGGGGCTACAACTTCAGATAAAACTAAATTTCTTATTAATCCATCATGTAGGTAATTATCTCTTACTATAAGCAAGAAGTTCCAAAGACAGTAATTTTCATTAAGTTCAAACAGAGAACTGCTTTAATTTTTCAATAAGAAAAGCAATTAAATGTGCCATTGGAATAAAAATGCAATATAATACATATATACTCATATATCCTGGTTTCTTCGGTATCTCCCTCTCTATAATGCGCACACCTCCCTTTATCTTTCCTCTCCTAGTCTCCAGTATTTCTCTCCCTCTACTTTTGGTATTTTTTAAATTCAAAAGATACTAAACAATATTCCCCCACCCCCCACCGAGAAAACACAAGTTTTGGCCATCAGGTTTCTTCTACTCTAAATTTCAAATCAGCTCAAAAAGTTATTAGGGAATTCATTGAACTCCGAAAATTATCAGAAAATCAAAGCAACCCAACATATCCTGCATATCAGTTTTTGAAGTTAAGTGCACGCATCAAGTGCATTTTGTTTGCAGAGTTGAGATAAAGGCAACAACTTTGAAGTAAAAAGGAAGGATAAAAGGCAACAATGTACCAAAATTTTACTGGTAAAAGAAATTTATCGTTAATGTACATGATTCAAAAACAGAACCCCAGTTAAGACAGGAAAAAAAAAAATAACTTACTTTCTCAATTGAAGTTGCTCTGCTTCTATTATCTGCAAATCAATGCAACAACACATATTACAAAACTAATTAATCATTGCACATGTGGTGTCTGTGCTTATATTCTAAGAAGACCTTTTCCGTGTAGGCGATAACAGGAGATTCTCGGGGGACTCCATCGGGTCCAATCTCCGGAAGCAACATTGGCCTTGCATTGTCCGCATTCAGACCCGGACTCGAATTCAAATTCGAAGCCATTTAAATGGATAACACTCAGAGATCAAGCAATCAAATTCTTCGTTCGGTTAATTTGTCAATTTGATGATTCAAAATTGAAGATAGAAAGAGAAGTCTGAGAAGTTTTAGGCTTTCAATAAACACGGATTCATCAGATGTACCGGTTAATATCTCCGATGGTTTCGCCAAACGGTGACCCTTTTTCTTCTGTTAGCTGATTTGCGCGACAGTGGAGAGAGATCACGCTGTGAGTCCGTGATCCGAAAGCGCGCCTCGGGAGAGCCTTTTAGGGAACAAAAAGCGTGTCGCTAGTTTAAACGAGGTCACAGTTGTAATAATGTTGTATAAGCTACGGAATTTTTCCCTCTTTTTTTAAACCTATTTTAAATCATGTATTCTTCCAATAAAATAATTTTATACAATAAATATATAATTTTTTAAAACTTTTTAACCATGCATTTGCCAAAATAAAAAATAATAATAATAATAAATAAATTCACACAATCATTTTCAAAAAATTCTACATCAAATAGATGTTGAGAGTGTGTTTGATTGGCTTTCTTTTTTTCATATAAAAAGTCATTTTCCACTCAAATTCCTACTTTTGAAAAAGTTTTCTCTGAAAAATATTTTTCAACTTTTGATCATGTAATTATATTTTTCTAAAAATCAAGAAAAATATTTTGTTTTGGAGGAATGATTTTTATTTTCCCGACAATTTACTCTCACTCACTCTCTCTCATTTATTTACTATCTTTCATCTACCTACTAATAAAAATGGACAAATATAATATTTTTCAGATTGATAGCTAAATCAATCTAGCATATTTTATTAATAATTTCTATACAAATAAGTTTTAGGTAATTGATTTGCTTAATTTTATTTTTTTTTTTATGCAAATTCCATACTCGTAATCAAATACAAACTAAATGTTTTGAAACTAAAGCCCCGATCCTTGCAGCATATCTTTGTCAATAGAGGGGCTTGTCCATATAACTTGAGGGGCCCAGTCCCACCGACTGAAAATATCGTTAAATAAATTGTTCCAAAAGGGATGTTTCATTTCATCTAACTCGTTCTCATGACTATAAGCACTTAAGGTGCATTTGATTGCGAATATGAAATTTGTATGAAAAGGAAATTATTGATTAAACATGTTTGATTAATTTAATTTTCAACTTAGAAATTATTATATTTGTCTATTTTTATTGGTGGGTAGATAAAAGAGAAATGTGATAGATGAGAGAGAAAGAAAGAGTGAATTATCTGGAAAATAAAAATCACATCTCCCTAAAGAAAATATTTTTCTTGTTTTTTGAAGAAAATATTGTCACGTGACCAAAAGTTGAAAAATATTTTTCATAGAAAAAAATTTGTCAATCAAACATCCAAATAGTAAGAATTTGAATGAAAAAATGGCATTTTCCATAAAAAATAATGTCAATCAACACACTTAATCTTTCATTTTCACCCCTCTCATCATATGCATGTCCAAGAAATTACAGGTTGTCTATGTAATTCGATGTCCCAAATTATATGGCCTGAATTGACAAGGAGGCACTTCGTTATAACCATCACGAACATTATTAGTTATTCTCCACGGTTGATATCTCTCTTCTTCACCTGAAATGCCTTTCATCGACATTTGCTTGTGTTTCGCGCGGGTTAGTCGCTAACAATTAAAAGGGATCAGACGATTGTGTAAGAGACAAACCTCTTGAGACAAAGTCCAAAAAAGGGGTGTTCTTTTATTGGCGATGACTTTACAATTGGAAATAAAAAACAAAATGCCTCCAAGGGGCGCAAGCACACGAGTTACTGAAAAAAGTGTTTAAGTCTTAAACTAAGGAAATTAAAATTACATGTTCTCTGTTCGAGAGTTTTTGATTCGGTCTTTTGCTCTATGTCTTTTCTCCCTTTTATAGTTCATGGACGATCTTTTTGTGACCAACCGCCTAAAAACTGCTTGATCGTTCTACAACTGCTCACTTTCCTCGTAATAGCCAACTTGTCATGAAAACTGCCTTTTTTAACTGCTGTCATTACTTTTTGTCGTTCAACCGCTTTCGATTGAATTCCTTGAATCGTGGAACGTGATAGGGCTGTTTTAATAACTGTTTTGATAACTGCACTTCTTGATAACCACAACGCTTTATGTTTGTTAAGACATTGGGCGACTTGAAGATTTGGGCGAGAATAGAGTAACAGCTCTGGGCGACTGTATGGCACTCCATTCGCTCAGATTCTGGGCGACTTGCAAATTTGGGCGATGGCGTTACCGCGTTCTTGGGCCTTCATCTTGAATTGTTTGATTGGGTTTCGTTCTTTGGGCTATCTGATTTGGGGATCCTCCAATTGGGCTTCATTCCTTGGATCGTTCGATTTGGGCTGAATTTTTATGTGTCAACAATTACCCCCCAATATAGCAGAATTAATAATAATTATTAAATTTTGCCATATTCACTTTGTGTTTCCAGCAACATTCGAGATTTTCAAAAATTTCAATCA